AGAGAGAGAGAGGATGGGTGGTTTGGTATATTGTTCGAGACGCCAATTAATGGATCGGAGGTTAACTAAATATAGGGGATGTCATAGGCATGCTTTTCGTCCGATCGATATTTCGAGTTCCATACGAAGGATAAATCAACATTTACGGCATATTAAAAAAATTTGACAAAAAAAAATATCAACAAAATGTAATTAATATATACTTAATATTAATAATTTTTAACTTATTTATAAATATAAAAATATTTATGTGTTAAATTAAAGATTTTTTTAAAAAATTTTCTTTTATAGAAATATCTATCAACTTCCATATTTTCATAAAATTAAGACTTATGCATTCTTGGACGACACTAAAAAGCCGTCTCGTGCAGGAGCGAAGCTGCTTTACTGAGTTTACGAGGTGAAGGAGCGCTCACATTGTTTTTTGCTTCCTCTTTCATTTTCATTTCCAAATCCAGCTCGCTCTCAGCTACGTGTTCGTCGACGATATACTTTTCAAATTCAAGACAGGAGAAGGACATCCGGAAGCTCTACAAAGGGTTCTTGAAAGATCAAGAAAATCCTAGTTGCATTAACATTTAAAATATAGGGGATGTCTAGATTTTAAATGGGAATATGTGGTGACTTTTAAAAAATATTATAAAAATAAAAATATTAATAGATAAATATTTTATTAATTTTAAATACTATTTGAGTTCATGTTTGTTTATTAGTTCTAGCTCGTGAACTTTTAAAAAGTGATCACATATCGTTACTGTTTGAACAACTTTAACAAAAATCTTGTAAATAGTGCACGTCTTTTTATATAGAATTATGATTACATTTCAAACAAGTTACTTAGTATGTTGTCCTGTTAAGATCGTGATAGAAAAAGAATGGTAGAAAAAAATAAGTAACTAAAATAGTCTCTTTTAAAAAAAAACCAAGCATCCTAACGAACATTTTATAGTTATGGATAAAAATTAGAAATGCGGAAATCAAAATAGATATTTTAAGAGCAATAAACATGTACTTATTAGTGAAATTGATATTTTTATATTTTTTTCTACCTGATGTATCCTACGTGTTAATATAAAATCCCTAAAGAAATAAATATCAGTGAAAATTTAACACACTCGTTGTACAACAAGCGTCCAATTCTTGGTTTTGTTGTTTTATGGTATTAAAAATATATATTAAATTTAAGAACCGTAGTACGTATTGTTTACGGAATTGTTTTTTTAATTTCCTTTTTTTTCTCGTGAGATGGATTTATAATTTATTTAAGTAAAAAAAGAAACAAGGTTTTTTTAGTACAAAAAAGGAAAAAAGAAAAGGCAAGTTGGTGTGGAAATAGTTTCTTACGCATGTACTTCTCAGTCTTTTTNTAGCTTCATCCCTCTATCATTTCAGTTTCGTTTCAATCTAGTTTCATAGTTTTAAAATATTTAATTTAGTTTCTTTATTGTATTTTTTAATATATATATATATATATATATATATTATTATTCAGGTGTCGGACCTTTATGCTCCTATACCTAGGATAGGCGTACTGTTCATACATGTACATACGCTAGGGATCAGATCATTGTTTGATGGCGTTGTGTTCAATGTGACTTGAACTCGAGATCTCGAAACTATCTCTAGGAAGGATATACACCTACATAGGTATACACATACATATATATTATATATATATATATATATATGAAATACTATAGGAATGAAATTGAAATTTTTAAAACCATAAAGAATAAAATTGAAACTAAGCGAAATTGAAGGGACAAACATAACAATTTTAAAATTATACAAACTAAATTAAAACTATTCATAAATGGTAGGTTTAAATTCTCTCCTTGTTATTTCTATTTTATAGAAATACTCAAATTAAAATTTTTATAGACTTTTTAATCTCTATTTTGGTCCATAAGTTCTCCTATTTGTTCTATTTTAGTCATATTTCCATATCCATATGTTAATATATTTCTTTTTAGAAAACTATT